CAAGCTCCTCTCTCACGCTCTCGTTCTACCATAATTCAAGTTTTATTAATGCACATGACTAATTCAGCTTCTTTCGGGGAGTTTTTTTGTGTGCTTTCTCCCCTATCAGGTCTCCGTAGATCGTGGTTCCTTCGGGACCCTGGTCCTGACACCTACCGTGGCCATGCTGACGCCTGCTGCTGCCATCATCATCATTATTTTAGATATTAATCATATTACTTTACTCATAAACCGACATTACCCTCTCCTAAAATATCTGTGCTCTCCCTCCCCGCAGGATTCTGTGGATGGTGGTTCTATCTGATGGTGGTTGCCCCTGCAGTGGTCCTGCTGTGCGCCTGGCTTACTACTCACAATTACTTGAATCATTTCTGTCATAGGAATTGCATGTATTATACATTGTTCATTCTGTACACATGGCATCCATTGTAGTCTGTCCATCCCGGGAGTGGGATCCCTCCTCTGACGTTCTCCCTAAGGTTTCTTCCCTTTTTTCCCTCTTGTAAGGTTTTTTTTCATTTTTTGGGGAGTTTTTCCTGTGCCGATGGTGGGTTTCGGGGCAGAGGATGTTGTATGTGTACAGACTGTAAAGCCCTCTGAGGCAAATTTGTACTTTGCGATTTTGGGCTATACAAAATAAAATGACTTGACTTGACTTGACTTGACTGTACGCCTCCGCCTGCCCAGGTCCCTTCGTGTTCACCCCACATTTCATGTTAGCAAAATAAAACCAGTCAAAGAGAGCTGTATGGTGCCAGACCCCAAGCCCCCTCGAATGATCGACGGTGGTCCGGTCTACACAGTGAAGAAACTGTTGGCAGTACGGAATCGCAGCAGAGGCTGGCAGTACCTCGTACACTGGGAGGGATACGGCCCAGAGTAACGACAATGGGTGGCTCCCCGCCTTATCATGGATCCTGGACATGGACCCTGATCTCGTTCGAGATTTTTACAGAGACCACCCGGACATTCCAAGGCCGCCTGGAATTCGGCCTTGGGGGGGGTACTGTCATACATGTTGGTGAAGTTTGTGTTTGTGTCCCGTCTTACCTCTGATTTTGATAATTCCTGTTTTATTGTGGCATCTAAACCCCCTCTCGTTTCAGGTGCCTTGCCCTTCCTCAGGTGTCTCCTGTCGATTGTCTCCCCTGATTCCTAATTGTCTCCACCTGTTCCCTCACCTCCCTCATGGATACTTATTGTCTGCGTCTCCCTTTGTCCTGTGCCAGTGTGTCTTGTAGTCGTGCATATCCACACCCGCGTTTGTGTTAGTTTGGGAAAGGATCTTTGCATATTGTATTATTAGATATAGGAATAATTGTATTATTGTACAACTGGATTCATGGAATATATCTCTAGTAGTCAACCCTCTCTGCGTCCTTGTTCTCCTCCCCGGCTCCAGCCTCACTGACAGCAGTAATTGAGTGGAAGAGGTTCGCGATGTAACGGCGGTTCCTCGTGGTCTCCGTAAGCTCTCTTAGACTCTGTAAGGCGGCACAATAAATTAATATATGAACTAGACGACGCCTATGAGGCTAGACAACAAGATTAAAATTTTGGAATTTGTGAGGACAGAGCCACGAGCCGTAGTTGCCAAGAACTAACTAAATTTGCGGACAATTAAGTGCAGGGATATCTAAAATAAGAAGATAGATAAGATAAGAAATAGGTCATCATAATTCGCCTTGCAGGTGAGGACAGTGTTACGGACCAGAGCGCCAAGACCCCCAAGGCTGGAGTTACATTTTAAATTCGAAAAAGATGAGGACAGTGCCACGGCCATCTGCCAAGACCCGAAAATAATAAATTACTGGATACATTTTTACAATAAATCTAGATCAGTTGAAAACGTTGCAATGTTGTATATTACATGTTTATAAAAGAATGAAGCCGGATTAAGGATTGGAGTGTGGCCTGGTCTTGGGGAAAACGGAGCACAAATGTTTTTGAAACATTACAAGATGGCGGGCGGAGATAAATAGAGAAAATGGTTAAAAGAAATGGCTGAAAAAGAAATTCTTAATGCTGTGAGAACGAAGTCACGCACGGTCTACAGCGGGGCTACAGGGCATGGTGTTGACGTTCCCACAAAGAAGAGGAACAAAGATTTGTTATCCACCATTTTTGGGGGTGGAGAATACAGAACATATAGTTTTGGAATTCCTTCAAAAAAGGGGAACAATGACTTGTTATCCACCATTACTGAGGGTGGAGAATGCAGAACATGTGCTTTGGAGATTTCCAAAATGGCAGCCGGTGACAGATAAGGGGTTAAGATAAAGAAGAAAGTTGTAACACATGATATTAGTTTTTGTATTTCCCGCCTCCACTTTGTATTTCCATTCAACAGTGCCTCCCCTGCCTCCATTTTCAAATTATTCTAACATTTTTTTTCTTCCTCAATTCTTAGGACCATGTGATTTTTGCTTGCATTTTAAACGGTCTATGGACATTTTCTAGGCTCTATGTGATTCTTTATGTTTTAACGTGTATATAATTGTTCTCTGCTTGCATTAACACAATTTTCCCATTTATTGTTTAAACATTTTTACAATTACTGAGTGTGAGAGAGACTCTGATTAGAGTCTGCAACACACCACCACACACACACACAGCAGCATCACACCTGAAGATGTACATTAGCACACCGATGGGACTTCCGCAAGAGACAAAGGACAGGACGCTGTCTGTGGACCCAGTCTGGTAAGACAAAAGGGAGTTGTTCCGAGAGTGGTGCGACCCATTAGGGATGTAGAGACAGTCTACAGTCCAGTGGGTGAATATGTAAATAGTTAACACAGAGAGCGTGACAACGGAGGGAGACATTTAAATAATAACCATTAGATTGAGGATGGAAACCTGAAGACAGACTGACAGACGCACCAAGGGCAGAACAGAGTGTCTTCCAAACACATGAAATAAATTGTGGGCCTCTATCGGAAACGATATCCACAGGTATTCCATGGGGACGGAATACATGTTGGACTAAGAGGTCGGCCGTCTCACTAGCCGTAAGTGATGCTATATAGTGAACAGATTTAGAGAATCTGTCCACAATGGTAAGTACCGTGTCATTACCTTCAGACATAGGTAGGCCGGTGACAAAGTCCAACGCCACGTGGGACCAGGGGCGACTAGGGACTGGAAGGGGTTGCAGAAGTCCAGATTGGCGATTGGTGGCTTTACTCCGAGCACAAATGGAGCAGGCCGCCACATAGGCTCGGACGTCCGCTTCCACCGAAGGCCACCAGTCTCTTTAGGAGCGTTAGAGTGTGATGCATCCCAGGGTGACAGGCAAAACGTGAGGTGTGGACCCACTGCAAAACTTGGGGGCGCACGGACTTGGGAGCAAAGAGCGGATTCGGGGGTCCCTCTCCAGGTCCAGGGTTCTGGCCACTCTCAATGATGAACCCAAGGAAGGGGACCGAACACTGATGGAAGTCGCATTTTTTTAACATAAATTTAACATTTTCTTTAACATAAAGTTTGTTTTCCAAAAGGCGCTGGAGGACCGGGCGGACGTGGAATACATGCTCTTCGAGGGATGAAGAAAAAATGAGGATGTCATCGAGATACACATGTCGTGGTGTGATTTTTGATACTTGTTGTTTTGTGTTCTTCCATTTCCCTGGCAGTAGGAGACGGCAGAGGGCGAGGTGGTGCTGAACATTACATTACATTACATTACATTACATGTCATTTAGCTGACGCTTTTATCCAAAGCGACGTACAATAAGTGCATTCAACCCATAGGGTACAAACTCAGGAGAACAAGAAACAAGAAAGTGCAATTTCCTCAAATAAGCCAATTTACAATTTGCTATAGATGGGTGACGTTACAAGTACAATTTAAGTGCTACAATTTGTTAGTCGAGGTAGAGTCTGAAGAGGTGTGTCTTTAGTTTGCGGCGGAAGATGTGAAGGCTCTCTGCGGTCCTGATGTCTTCAGAGAGCTCGTTCCACCATTTCGGCGCAAGGACAGCGAAGAGTCGAGACCTAGTCGAGTGTTTTGCTCTCAGTGAGGGAGGGACGAGTAGTTTTGCAGATGCAGAGCGGAGAGTACGGGTTGGGATGTAGGGTTTGACCATGTCCTGGATGTAAGCTGGACCCGATCCATTCACAGCATGGTACGTGAGCACCAGTGTTTTGAACTGGATGCGGGCGGCCACCGGTAGCCAGTGAAGAGAGCGGAGGAGTGGAGTAGTGTGGGAGAATTTCGGAAGGTTGAAGACCAGTCGAGCTGCTGCATTCTGAATGAGCTGCAGAGGTCGAATGGCGGTGGCAGGGAGACCTGCCAGGAGGGAGTTGCAGTAGTCCAGGCGGGAGATGACAAGAGCCTGAATCAGTACCTGCGCTGCCTTCTGAGTGAGAAGGGGACGTATTCTCCTGATGTTGTAGACCGTTGTAGACCGTCAGGTCCTGGGTAAGCGAATCTTTTCCGGGAAAGAGAAGTAGTTCAGTATTGTCGGGGTTGATTTTCAGATGGTGGGCGGACATCCACTGAGAGATGTCAGTTAGACAGGCAGAGATCGAACGAGACACACCTGGTTCCCATCCCACCTAATCACTTGTGCCATAAAGACAGGCTCTGCTCGTCACTCCGGTGCCAGAGTATTCCCGCTCGTACCCGCTGCAACTCGTGGCTCCCGGCTCTCTTCTCCCGTGCTCGACGCCAGCCCAGCCAGCTCAACCTCCGTCGTCTCCTCCGCTTCCAGCGCCTTGTGTTTTGTGTATCCTGCTGTGAGGATTAAACCTTTTGAAGACCATCTCGTCTCCTGTCTCTGCATTTTGGGGTCCACCGAGAACCGCACCGTGACAACACAAAAACAAAGCGATTAAAAAAATCCCTCAACACGTCATTAATCATGGCCTGAAAAACTGCGTTAGTGAGGCCAAATGGCATGACCAGGTAATCAAAATGACCTAAAGAGGTGTTGAAAGCAACACCTGGTCTTCCAGTCTTCCATTCGTCTCCGCGGCGAATTCGAACAAGATGATAGCCCATAGGAAAAATGTGTTGCTCATCTGTTGTTCAATCTCATCTCGCGAGCTCAATTTGAGCATCTCATGTTCATATCATTCTGTGATCATTTGTTTCTGAGTTACTTCTCCTAAGGGTCCCTTAGGAGCAAGACATAAGCTAAAAAGAGACAAGACATGAGTAAGACAAAGGAGGTTAAATTGAGAATACCATTTGAGCAATACTTGAGAAGTGGGATAGACAGTAGAGATCTCATAATTGTATACCCCTGATCTCAATTGTGTCTCGGCCATTTGAAGGAGAATAACATGAGACAAATCTGAGAATTATGAGCCTTAAAAGAGATCTTATTATTGTGTGTCCAACGTCTCTTCCATCTCTTGATTATTTCTCTTTAATGTCTTACTGAAGCTATATATGAGAATGATATCTGAGGTATATTTGAGAAATACAAGAACAAATTGAGAATGCAATTTAAAGATTAATTATCTTTATTAATTAGAAACAACTAAAAACAATACTCAATATTGAAAACTGCATTTGTGTGACACACACACACACACACACACACACAAAAGTGAGAGAGATCGCGGTCCACATAGCTTGGCCTCCTCAATTAGTTCCCAGTCCGGTAGAGTTGCACATCTGTAAGACAAGAGCATTAAAATCAGTCATGAGTAATTTGACAAAAAAATTACCACATAGACCATATACAACTGCACTTCAGGTTAAAAGGAAATAACACCGTGAGACGTTCATTTCAGTTCAGAGAATTGCAAATCAGCAAGTACGATTTTTTGGCCAATCATGAATATGAAAAAAAGTGTTATCCTTAAAAAAAACGTACTTAGGATTCAGTCAACTTTTTTACAGTCAAGGACCGGCTTTCCTTCCTTTCCTGAGGGGTTGTTTCCAGGGTGACCAAAGGGCACTGCATTTTGACACTCCTCAACAGTGAAGAAATTATCAAAAAGTGCATGAAACAGACGCATGCAATTTGGTTTTGATGCGTGATTCATGGCAGCCAGGCGGAATGATGAGATGAATTGGCCGCTCCCAGGAAACAGCTCCTGCTGGCTTGATGGTGAAGCTAGGCTGCCACCAGATCTCTCTCCAATTAAGTCGCAGAGAGTCTGAAGCTCTCTGACCCGGCCTGTATCTGAAAGGGAAGTGAGCTCGTAAAAAGATGAACGTAAACGATTCTGATCATTAAGCAAAAATAATAGCAAATCATTTTCATCAGGGCCAAGAGTCATTCACATACTATTTACTCAAATACAGTAATGGGGTCTACACACAGCTCCACTACTTCCTGAATTTAAGGCAGCTCCTTGGTTTCCTGTCTTACATTATTGGACAACTGATTAATCCACGTGTGTCTGAGTCACAATGGTCAGACACACATGGATTAATCAGTTTGTCCAATAATGTAAGGCAGGAAATAAAAGACCAGCCTTAAGTTCAGGAAGTAGTGGAGCTGTGCATAGAGCCTATTCTATTATCATAGATTGAATAACAAAGTTATCCTAATGATGTTTTTCTTTGGTTTTGAACTTTGCCAAATCTGATCGGATAAGGATAAAAAGTGTTGAACTCATGGGCCCAGGCGATTATGTAATAATTATGACAAACCTACCCATAGGGTGGTGGTCCAGCTGTGTTGCGGCCTGTTGCATGTCCCCCGTCAGGTGATGGATTCATCGATGGAAATGAATTTCTATTTGGCCACAACAATTTAGACTGGTATTTTTAGACATTATTAATGTTATGATTATTACCCCCGTATATAACAAACTATTACGTTAATACTTACCAGATTGCTCATTTGGGGGAGGGGAGCTCAGGTCCTTCAATTTTCTGAGTGGGAACCCGTAGCCTCTTTTTTGCCAGGACTTTGTTTTTCTCCATCCGGTTAATGAAAAAAATACATTTTAGATCATTAACGCTAAGTATAACATCAATAGACACAATATTTATGAGCTTGCAGATCTGAAATTTCAGAGATAAATAGCTAGTGTACAGCAAAAATAGGAGGGCAAATCCAGTCAACAAAGTCAAATTTAAATGTATTTAAAACATTTAGCTAACACAAGTTAGCTAACGTTATCCATTAGCTAACATTAACAATAGCAGTTAGCTAACGTTATCCATTAGCTAACGTTAACATTAGCCGTTAGCTAACGTTAACTTAGCAAACCATCCCATTTTCGACAGTCTGAATACAGTTCGGAGTTTCTTTGTCAATTACTTGTTGGACAGACACCTAATTACCTTATCCCCACCTTCCATTATTATGATAATGTCAAAAGAATTTCATTCTTACCTCTTCGTGGCAGGGGCAAAAGCCAACAGGTGCAGCAGCAGTTACCGACGCACTTCTCTCACCCCAACGAAATTACGAATTGGCGCCAAGACCCGCCCTCCAATCTTCTTCTTCTTCTTCTTCTATTTTTATCTGGCGGTTGATAACTTGTTGTTGTATTACCGCCACCGCTGGACTGGAGTATACCCACAGATTATATTTCATTTATACTATTACATTCTTTTTAAAAGCCCTGTATTCTAGATAACAACATTTTTATTTGTTCAGGTCCTATCCCCTGACCAATCCGCTATCCTAACCTTAACCACTCGAGGTGAAAAGTCTAATCAATCGTGAGCCATGCAATGAGCTGCTTCGTAGGGCGGGTCTTGGCGCTACCACGTCTCCCGCGCGTGCAACGTTAATAGTAATAGTCATAACGGACTCTTTCATCACACATGAGGTAGGATTCTTGGAGTAACGTGTTACACACTCTTTTACTGCTCTATACAATAGAGCTTTGCTGTGAATTCTTTTAAAACAGCACAATTGTCAACATTTAGAAAGTTCACAAAGGTGTCTTTTGAGCAAATCATGGCTTATGTTTTGATGGGTTACGTTTTAGAACTCAAAATTCTAATTAATGAATTGTATGGCTTGTCAGAAATAAACCCCTTTTGTAAGTTGAACATTATGTAAACCATCTCAAATTATTTGCCTGAATTGATATACTTCTTTTCTTAAATTTTGCGCTGAGATAAATTGAGATATGATTGAGCTATAATATTAAATAATGTCTCATATTGAGACTAATTTGAGAGCTAACACTACTCTATTTTTTCTTTTTGCTGAAACACTAGAAAGAGACAACTGTAAAAGAATCTGAGAACTCAAATAGTGAGCAGTACGAGACATATTTCTCACTGAGATATAATTGAGATCAAATTGAGACATATTTGAAAGCTGCATTGCATGTCTCATTTTTCTCTTAGTTGAGATCAGGAAAAGAGACAGCTGTGAGAGAATTTAGAGAACTTGCACTGTGCTCAATGTGAGACTTAATTCTCAGGAGAGACATTTGAGAAGAATGAGAAAACCACTTTGGTCTCAATTAGTGCTCATTTATATCTAGGAGATGTAAATGTGACATAAAGGAGATCTCATCTTCAATTTTGCTTTGCTATGGGAGGCGTTCCGGAGGTCGAGTTTAGAAAATAATTTGGCGCCCTGAAGGGGTTCGAAGGTGGAGTTAATGAGGGGCAGGGGATACTTATTTTTCACCGTTAAGTTATTTAGTCCACGAAAGTCGATGCACGGCAGTAATGTCTTGTCTTGTCTACAAGACATTACAAGACATTGTCTTGTCTACAGCCGACTCGAAGGCAACGGGGCTCCCTGCAGAAGCTCAATAGGGCAGTAATACGGCCTATGGGGAGGTAGTGACAACGCTTTATCTTTGCTGATGACCTCCGAAAGGTCATGATAATTCTCGGGAACAGAGGATAAATCAGATGAAGTCTCACTGGCTACCAGAGGCGTCTCCACTGGAGGAACAGCCGATCCCAGGCACTCAGAATGACAACGGTTGCTCCAACTATGGATAGCTTGATGCGGCCAATCAATTTGGGGGGTATGTAAACTCAACCCAGGGGAAACCCGAGGATTAGAGGAGTGTTTGAGGTGGAGATGACCTTAAAACTGATCTTTTTCGCGATGTTTCCGAGACAGATTCAACGTAATGGGGATGGTTTGGTGAGTAACCTTAGCTAGGGGATGCCCATTTATGGCAGTAACACAGAGGGGGGGGGGGGGGGGAATCGACTCAATGGGGAACCGGCTTGAGTGACGAGGTCAAGATCGAGGAAATAAGCCCGGCCCAGCTGCTTAGCTTCGTCCTCAACCCTCTGGGCTGGGACAAGAGGGGTGGGGCACCGCAACAGAGGGGAGGTGGTTCGGAAGGTTGATGGGATAGGATCCGACCCGTGGAGCTTGGCCGACTGCCCCTCTCCCGCAACCGGTTATCTATTTTGATAGCAAGGGACACAAGACCATTTAAATCATTAGGTTCATCCCGGACCGCTGGTTCACCTTTAAGAACTTAATTCAACCCTTTGAGGAATGCTCCCTGTAGCGCCTCGTCATTCCACTCAGTCTGCCGCCAGCATCCAAAATCCAACCAAATAGTCTGCCATGTTGTCTGCACCCTTCTTTAGGTTAATCAGTCGCTTTGAAGCGCTCCCAGCATTGTCCAGGTGATCAAAAACACACTTCCGTTTGGAGCAGAAATCATCAAAAGTTAGTCCTGACCACAATTGATTGGTACATACTGCTTTGGCCCAAGCCAATGCTCTGCCTCTGAGTAACCCCGGGGCATAGTGTACCTTAGACGACTCAGTGGCGAAGGACTGCGGCCGTTGTTGGAAGACCACCCCTCATTGAAGGAGAAATCCACGGCATTAATCCAATTCCCCAGCGAAGGGCTCAGGTGAGTTGATGGGAGGTTTGTGGAGGAACGGAACGGTTGCTATATCTGGGAAAACAGGTGAGACGGAGGGAGCAGAGAGTGAGGGGGGATTGGGAACAGACAGGTTAGCCACTTGTGTAGTTAATTTGGTGACCTGGTTAATTAGCTGCTGATTGTTCTATAGAAGGGTGCGGATTAACTGGTCGTGTTGACCAAGTAAAATTCCCTGAATATTGATAGCCTGTTGGGTGCCAGCCGCCTTAACAGCCTGGGGAATCTCCGTAGGGTCCATGGCCAGATCGTTCTGTTAAGGCTGGATATTCGACCAGACACACAGAGATCCACACAGGACTGATAATCCGTTGAAGTGATTTTAATGAATGGGGATTTCAAAGGAAGGTGACAGCCGGGTGAGGACGCCAGAGGGATGGAGGCCGGTGGCACGGCAGGTCAAAGCCGGGACAGCGGAATCTCGACAGAGGAAAGAGATACAAACACACAGGATGGGGAGAATCGGCAGCTGACCCATAACATGAATTACTAAATACTGTACGGAAATATGTCCTAAATTTGAGGCCATTTAACTTCATAACATTATACAACAATATTACTTAAACATTGTCGTAAACATTTTTCATAGCTGCCACATTTTTATTTCCCTGCAGGCTAATAACATTTTATAATATTTGGATGTCTCATGTCCTCTGCAAATTCTGGGACCAAAAGATATGACCCCCTAATGATCTCTCCAGGATGAAGATCCAGATGAGCCATGTAGTAGTGACGGGTTATTCAATTCAATTAATTTTATTTTGTATAGCCCAAAATCGCAAATTTGCCTCAGAGGGCTTTACAGTCTGTACACATACGACATTCTCTGCCCCCACATATCGGCACAGGAAAAACACTCCCCAAAATTAAAGCTTTTCAGTGTTCAATACAAAACTAATGGTGTAAAGCCTAGTTTATGGTTATGCGTTTTCAGAGAAACGCAGTGACACGCACACGCAAGAGCCCCATGCGTGCTTTTTTACCCTTTCTTGCGTGCGTCGACCAATTTTTTCCTAGCATCAAAAGCTACGCAAGCCTCACATAGCCCGCCAGGCTGTGATTGGTCTGCTAACTACATCCTTTCCAGCGTCTCACATTTCCGGTTTTATAGCATAATAACGCCATTTTTAAAAGGAAGATTTTTGAAGAGAGAATTAATCAGATTGAAGAGCTTTTGTCACAGAAATACGAAAATATGACCTTATACCTTATACAACCCGTCATAGTGGACTATAAGGATGCGCAGATGGCCTCCAATTCATGGAGGGAGATCTCCGCAAACGTTGGTTTGCTGGTCAAGGGGTAGGCTATACAAAGTTGTGGAGGAAAATAGAGGACAAAAATGTCGGCAAAAAAAGGCGATAAAAAGCAGCAGTGGCAATGCAGGCAGCAAAAAAGTCTCTGCTTTTTATGTATCCCTAAATAAACAAACCAACGAGGGAACTTCCACACACAAAGACCTAGGTCGTGTTCGACAAAAAATGTTACTCCACCTATTGTTCTGGAGCTGAATTGCTTTGCTACACGCGCAACCCTTTTAGAACCATGAATTAAAACAGTCCAGTTAAACAGTTAAAAAAGTCCATGGTCACAAATGGGCGAAAAAATGCAGCTGCAGTTGCAGAAGCATGCCAGCGCTTTACTGGTACGTTCACACCAAAAGCGAAGCGAATTAGTTAGTTTCCATGTAAAGTCAATGCACAGACGCGTCTGGCCGCAAATGAGGCGAATGACCGAAACGAGCGAAGCGAATAAATCACTTTTTAGCCCGACGCTGTCTTGCGAAAGCCAATCAGCGTTAAGATGCTCCGCTCGTCATCACTGCCGTCCTGGTGCCAAAGTGTGAATACACGTTATTAAACGGTCGCCCCATCGGAGACACACACATAGAGACTGAACGCCTCTAAGTTAGTTTGTGTCTAATCGGGAGACACCGGCACCGAGCCGACACAACAGGTCATCAGACCGGCTGCTGGTCCGCCTGAAGTAGCGCTGGAAGGCGCAGTCATCCAGACGCACTTCCTGGAGGAGTCGGTGAAATTCAAGCTGTGTGCAGCGACGGATGATGTCATGAACCCGAACACAACACCGTTTGCGGTTCCGACGTTTGTGTAATTCACACAACAAATAAAGAGCAGCCATAGTCGTTATTTATTTCCATGGTGGATAGCGGAAACCATAACTGTCTTTACGGAGACACCTAACGGAGATAAGCGACGCCTCCTTCAAGGAGCGAATGGAGCAAAAGCGGAGTGAAAATTCGCTTCGCTTCTTGTGTAAACGTAA